TGCTGCTCGCCGCGCTCCTGCAGCTGGCCCCTGCCCAGGTACGTGCGTCCCCGACATCCCGCCTGCCCGCGGTGCCCTCTCTCAAGGTTGGCGGAAGTGGGGAAGCACCGAGCAGCCTCGGCCCAGGGGATCCGCGGGGTCCGGCCTCGAACGCGGGCATCGCGGGGGCCGGGCCGGCCATCCCCGGGAGGTGCCCCTCCACGCGGGCCAGCCAGCCAAGACCCGGGGCCACTCCCCCGCCCCACCCCGTCCCCTGACCGCGGGGGGCGGAGCTGCCTCAGTGCCCTCAGGACCAGGTTTGGCGCCCACTGTTCCCACTCATGACCTGTATCCTCCAGAACAAGCCCGGCCCCCAGGTTTGAAGATCTGAGGCCACCTGCAGAGCACGCCTAGCTGGTCTTGGGCAGGGATAAGTCCCAGATGGCTAGGAGAGGAAACGTAAAGCTAGAGCAGTGGCCTCAGGAACAGTGATTTGGAAAGATGTCAAAGAGGAGGTGACGCCTCCTGACGCAAGGGCAGAGCCCTGAGGACAGGGACAACCCCTGGTAGAGTGCACCTTCGTCCACATTTCTTTTCTCCCACAGGCCCCTGTCTCCCAGCCTGATGCCCCAGGCCACCAGAAGAAAGGTAATAGTTAGAATAACATTGCACTAGCCAGTGGTAAATGAGTTTGCCATCCATTGGCTGTGCTTCTGGGCTCCTGTGTCCATCATCTTGTGTAATCACAACTCCCCTATAAGACGCAAACTATCATTCTATTTCACAGAAGAGGAAACTGAGGCAGTGGGGTTCTGGATAAACAGGGCAGGAGAAGCCAGGTTGGGAGGGCAGAAGGGGAGGACTAGGGGAGGGTGGCTGTGACATGGGGGCTGGGAGGACAGCTGCTGGGAGCAGCTGCAGGAAACCCAGTGGGGACTTAACCCTTACTGCTCTGCCCCCAGTGGTGTCATGGATAGATGTGTATGCTCGTGCCACCTGCCAGCCACGGGAGGTAGTGGTGCCTCTGACTGTGGAACTCATGGGTACAGTGGCCAAACAGCTAGTGCCGAGCTGTGTGACCGTGCAGCGCTGCGGTGGCTGCTGCCCTGACGACGGCCTGGAGTGTGTGCCCACTGGGCAGCACCAAGTCCGAATGCAGGTACTGGGGCAGGTGGAGCAAGCAGGCTGGGGTGGATGCTGGCACTGTGGTGCACAGGGGGTTACAGGGTTGGTGGGCGGGCGGGCCCAGCCCAGCCAGAGACTGGTGCACAGGGGGTTACAGGATTGGTGGGCAGGGTCCTGGCTGTTGGGCCAGCTGTTCTCCCTTCAGCCTATGGAGCATCCTCTGCACAGGGGGTTACAGGGTTGGTGGGCAGGGTCCTGGCTGTTGGGCCAGCTGTTCTCCCTTCAGCCTATGGAGCATCCTCTTTCTCTCTCTCCCTCTCACTGTTTCTCTCCCTGTTCTCCTGAGCACAGATCCTCATGATCCGGTACCCAAGCAGTCAGCTGGGGGAGATGTCCCTGGAAGAACACAGCCAATGTGAATGCAGGTGCCAGCCAGGCCCAACTTCTGAGCTTGCAGAGTCCAGACTTGGGGGTGTGAGGCACTGGGGACCGGTTTCTAAGAGGAGAGCCAGGGGTAGGTCTGGGATCTGGGCAAGAGAATAGGATGCTTGGATTTCCTGATCCTCCTCTTTGTCTCTATCTCACTTTTCAGACCAAAAAAAAGAGAAAGTGCTGTGAAGCCAGATAGGTGAGTCTCTTGGGCTCCTGATGAAGTGGGGTTGGAGCCCAGGCCCAGTGCCCAGGATGTAACGGGGGGGAGGGGTGTATGACTGAGGAAGCTGTGGTCTCCTCCCCTCTTTCTCTTCCCACCTGTCTCCCCTCTCCCCTTTTCCTCTGCTCCCCAAGTCTGTGTGCTGTCCCAACCTCAGCTCTGGGAAGACTCTTCCTTCCCACCCCAGACATGTTGCTTCTCCTCCTAGGGCTGCCACTCCCCACCACCGTCCCCAGCCCCGATCTGTTCCGGGCTGGGACTCTGCCCCTGGAGCACCCTCCCCAGTTGACATCACCCATCCCACTCCAGCCCCAGGCCCCTCTGCCCACGCTGCACCCAGCGCCGCCAGCGCCCTGACCCCCAGACCTGCCACTGCCGCTGCCGCCGCCGCAGCTTCCTCCGTTGCCAAGGGCGGGGCTTAGAGCTGAACCCAGACACCTGCAGGTGAGGAGTCTGTGGGGTGGCATTTGTTTGGGAAAGTATCAGGGCCCTGTCCTGGAGCAGTCCAGGGTGAGCCTGCCAGTGGGAGAAGGGCCAGGGTAGGGGAAGCTGTTGAATGTGTTGAGCAAATATTTACCAAGTGTCCGCTGGCACTGGGAGCAGCGTAAACAAGGCTCACATTTTGATGTGGAGCCAGACTCAGGAGAGATGATTCCGGCAGAGAATGTTGAAGGCTGTTGTCAGAGTCACCTGACATCACCTGGGAGAGGTCATAGATCGCCTGGAGAAAGTGACATCTGCCTGGAATAGAAATGAAGGAGACAGCTTTCCAATTTGCAAAGTCTGGGTCTTCCCAGAAACCCCTGTGGTAGACATTTGCCCCACCTTATGGGCTCTGAGAGGCCGGGGGACGTAATAGAACCCTTGCCCGCCCTTGTTTGTGGTGCTTCTCACCACCCCAGCCTTCCACAGCCAGGCCCTGGGGCCAGGCCAGGAGGGCTTCCTAGGAGTGTGAGCAGAGAGTGGCGTTCACAGAAGGTAAGGAGTGAACGAGTCAAAAGCAGCCGGGCTGAGCTCCAGCCAGCATGAGCAGATCCCTTCCTCCTCTCCTCAGGTGCCGGAAGCTGCGAAGGTGACAGATGGCTTTTCAGACTCAGCGGGGCCACTTGCCTCACAGGCCACACTCCAGTGGGGAAAGCGAGGGGAGCCTGATGAGAACAGCCCAGCCCCCAGACCTCAGCCTGGGCAGAAGCTGTTCCAGGAACTGGGCCTCTCAGAGGGCTCTCCTGTCATCCCTTGTCTCGTTGAGGCTGCCATCTAACAGGGTGGACAGAGTTGTATGAGGAGACTTGGAGGCTGCAAGACAGGTCATGTGCCAGCTAAGAGGAGAATGGGGTGCTGTTTCCGTTTTTAACCACCTTGTGCAAGTGAGCATCTTACAACTGGCTCCTCCCTTCCCTCCCTGAGAAAACCCAAATAATGGGATTTGGGCATTGGTACGAGAACTGTGACCCCCAACCCTGATAAAAGAGATGGAAGGAGTTGTCCTTGCCTGTGTCACTGTTTGTCACTGTTCAGGCTGCCTGGTTTGGGCATGAATGTCTGCATCACTGTCTCCTAGACCCAAAGCATGTCTTACTCTTGTGCAGATGGAGAAATGAGGCCTAAAGCCCCTCAGCAGATCCCGGACAGAGCCAGAATCACGTGTTCATCACATTCATGTTGTTACGGGCAGGCACTGGGGATTTCCCGCCTCCCTGCTTGTCACAAGTGTTCATTTCTGGAGTGAGATGGCTTGCTATGGCCAGTGAGGTTGAGGTGGTACCCAGGTCTGCTGAGTAACCTTGGTTGTCATTGCCCCTGTCTTTCTGAGCCTCAGTTTCCACATGTGCACATGGAGAGAACAGATGATTGCTGTGGTTGGAGCCCAAGGGCTCCAGAGAAATTTGAGTCTGTTTTCTTTCTTTCTTTTTTTTTTTTTAAAAAAGATGACCAGGGGC